AAAACAGAAGTAGGTGTCTTTTCTATTGCAATAGTTTTGCTATGATGCAATTTGAAACTGCTTTGCATGTTCACATTATATAAACCCATTTTGCAATAGTGAATTGTCACTATATCCAACTTCAAGGTGTTCTCATTTTCAATACCTTCTGAAACAATGGAAGTCACGTTGCTAGAATATTTATCTACACCCTGAGATACTTTAATTTCTGTGAAACTAATGCAGTCAGAACACCTATACATTTTTCCAAAAGCCCATTTTCACATATTTACAGCTTCATGTGAATTTTCACTCATGGTAGTAATGAAGAGATTGTATTCTTGGAATACTAGTTTTGTAAATTCACCCTTAAGCCATTCATGTTTTCAGTGCTTATTCAGACAAGCCATTTAACTGAATATCACCTTATTCATAAGAGGGTTTCCGTTGAATACTAAGCCAAAAGCTACAGAATAGAAAGACATGTTTTTATAAGACAAGTTGGGAAGCTGACAAAAATATCAATATATGCTGTTGAATATTGTTTTTATACTCTATTTTAAAGGCTACTAATACATCTCTCCATCTACTGCAACTCCATAACCATTCACAAGACATTAATTAAAAGAGGTTGTATAGAGCAGTGATATTTAATCTTTTCATGTCTAAATACTGTAAACCCCCCTTTCCTCCCTGGATTTCTCGGGAGCAGGCAACACTGACCTGTGTGTCTGGGCACCTGATGTTGTTGACATTAAAGGAGATCCTGAGTATCCCAGTAGTGATGTTGGATAGGTGGGAATCCTTTATCCACCCCTCTGCTGCAATCCCTTTACTCCTAAAGGAATTTAAAATTGGCAGTGCCTCCACCTGGCTGGCCCCTGTACACACTCAATGGTGTACCTTGGGAACCTCCCGGAATAAACCCCTTCAAATAGTAATAATAATCTGTGGCATGGGTCTAACTCAAAAATACCAATTATAAATAATATACATCCAATATACTTAAATTAGATTTAACACACCTTTACTTAACAACTTAAAGAAACAGGGTATAACTGACGAAGATTAAATATCACTACTAATTTAAATGCACAGGGGGCAGATGAATAAAATCAATTACCAATTATAATATACGGTAATAAATTAAACTTATCTAACTGGCATTTACACTGCCACCATTTACCCCACCCCAGAGCGTACACTCCTCTGGATTTCAGAGTCCTAGATGATTGCATGGGCGCACTTGGAGATCGGCAGCTGGAGACAGCACTCTGTTGGTTCTGCGTATCAGTCCAGCCAAGGCAACAAGCTGCACACCCCCCTGACGATTGGAGTTGGCCCCACCAAATGTCAGCAGCTCTGAGTCCTGGTTTGACGGGAAAAATCACTCTGCCTCTCCTCAGACTCAGTCTCTCTGCTGTGCCCCTTCCCTTGCAAGTACTTTCCCAAACAAGAGTGGGGGTTACTCACAGTTCCTTCACTGCAGGCCCACCTCAGTCAGCCTAGGCACTGCAACAGTCTCTGCCCTGGCTCCAGTGAAGCCACCAACCACCTCTGATGCTCCCTGGTTGATCAAAGCCCCAGCAGGCTCTCCACAGCAGCTTCTGGCTTCCCAGCAGCAGCTCCTGGTACAGACAGAGCTCCACACCAACAATCTGGCTTCTCTCCCCAAAAATGGAGCCCTCCCCATTCCCTGCACAACCTGAGGGAGTTGTAGTCGCTAAGGCTAGATTGCAGCACACTGGATCTTCCCAACTGGAACACTCCCAAGAAAGTTCAGAGGCCCCTCTAGTAAAGGGGACCTACAGTACCAATTAAAATCTATTTGAATGTATAGAACCTTCAGTACTAGTCAGTTTCACTCTGGTTCTTTAATTTATCAGGACAGTTTCAACCCACACACTGCAGTAAACATCTGAAGAGAAAACTGTACATTTATATTAGCCAATTATTTTCCTCAATGAATGCCATTTAATGCCTAGCACAATGGGATCCTGATCCATGCCTAGGGCTCCTAGGCGTTACAGTAATATAAATAATAACTAATAATAGTACCACCTGATGGATGACATGGTTGTTCTTTGAGTGGCTCTGAAAAATATCAGCTCATGAGAAAATGTCAATTGCAACAATTTAGACAAACTGGTAATTAAGTTCCTGGTAAAAACAGATTTCATTTTCAGAACTGCACAAGCATCACTTGTGACAAATAGACTCTTGAGCTCAGATATTTATGGAATTCTCTGCACTACAGTGCTCTACAAATCAGAGAAGCAGCTAATATAACAAAACAGAGACCCCATGTAAAGGCAAATGGCTAGTAAGAAAATCTGGCTACAAGAGCCCTGATCATCAGTGCCAAGAATTCTGTAGGAGTCACCTGCCGGCAGAAATGGCATCATATAATATTTGGAGTATACATAATAGAGGATCACCATTGCAGGCATAAAGCTTTCATGCATAAGTTACATGCTGATACATTTTGCTTGGTTGAATAAGACCTAAAAGATATTTGGCTGACTATTCTCTTTAAGTATGATGACAGAGGACATCAACTCTGGGGGAGGGAGGAATAAAAGAGAAAGAAAAATTATCCAAGGCCAAGTATTTTCAAATTTAGGTGCCTAAAGTTAAGCTCTTAAGTCCATGTTTGGACACCTTAAAAAAAGGTGCCCTGATTTTTAGAGGTACTAAGCACCAATGAATGTCACAATCACCCAATTTTTTCCCCTCACCTGGTGTCACCCAGACCTTACACATATTTGGAGAACTGTCCCTTGTAAAATTTTTTTTTTTTTTTTTTTTTTTTTTTTTTTGCCAAAATTTATATATCACATCACAACCAGCTGAGTTCCACTTCTGCCAGATGGCTCAAAGGTTTCCCCTCTCCCCCAACCAAAATAAGCCATTTTAAATGCCCACATACGGTTGTTCACAAGTTCAACTAAACCCATGCAAATCTGTGAGTACACAAGCCCTAAGGCTGTAGGCTAACTGATCCTGAAGGCTGACTGAAGTCAACAGGGCTCCACCAAGGCACAGGGGTTCTGCCCTTCTGCATGAGCTTGGCCTAAACCCCAAATGCCCGGCTCCCGTTCAAAAGTGAAATTATTGGCCCATTTACAGCAATTCAGTTAAATTAGTGACCACACTTCCTTATTTCTAAAAAAGGATAGTTAAACGTTTGAGTCTTCCATTACAACATGTGTGACTCAACCCACCGGTCATAGCTTCCACTGCCCTTAAAGGACTTATTCACAGCATTATTGCAACATCTGGCCGCACCAGCAGAGATAAGAGTCTATCAATTATAAACCACCATTTGGGTGAAAGAGGCCAGATTAACCCCAAACAAAAAACATGTGGATTGGTAGTGACACTGGGTCTGCTTCTGCTCTGAATGGATGAAAAGGGAGTTTTGCCACTGATTTATAGAACAAGAATTGGAACTCATTGTTACAGGAAAGGAGTTCTCCCAAACCTGAAAGCCAAAAGAAGCAGGAAAGGATACAAAAATACAAGTTGGAAAAACTCTGAAAATCTTTTGATATGAACAATTCGCTAAAAGTAGTGAAGTATTTCATGGTACAACATGAAAGCCAGGACTTGCCTCTTCTACAATACTACAGATCTATGCATGCTATCAAAATTCTGCTGTAGCCTACAGGGCCTTGAGGGGGTCGTTTAGTGGACTAAGCATCAGCCTGGAAATCCCCAAACTCCCTGCAAACACAACGCAAATTTCAACAGGGTCAATTCAGGATTTCATCCTTCTGAGCTAGACAAATTGAATAAATGTGCATTCCACTGTGTGGGGCTTTAAACACTTCCGTTCTGTCTGTACCAAGTGGACATCAAAGGCACTATAAGAGTGGGATGCTTTTCACAAGACAAGACGTTTGTGCTGGTGTTGTTTGCCACATTTTTTGCACTCCCCCAGACTGTGCAGGATGCTGTGCAACCAACATCCAATTTGGGCTACTCAGAGATGGTTGCATTTCAGTGATGCTGTAGATAGCAAGATTTGGCCTCCTTTGACATTAAAGATGTGAAAAAAATATAAAATATTGCTACAGGAATAGCCCCAGATACTGCAGTCATGCTAGTGAAACTTGCAGTGTTTGAGACAACTGTAAAGCCTTGGGTGCGTGGGACCCCCACAACGAGCTGGTGCTGAGAGCGTGCGGAGTCGGTCGACACTACGCCCGGCTCATGAGACAGCTCATGGTGTCCGACACCATCAGGTGGTCCAGAGACATCTACACGGAATACATCACAGGACACCGTCAGTACCAGGTTGAGTAAGCGAGAACACCGGTCAGGGAAATAACCCACTTCCTTCCTTCCTTCCCTGACGAACCAAGGGACACACCCCACCCATGTACTTATTCACTACACTAATACTGACTTGGCCTCTAAATACATTCTATGGGTGGCGTACCTGAGACCACTTATCCACTGACGTTTTAAAAACTCTTGCACCCCAATCTGGGTCTATGCTGGTTATGTACTATGTATGCATCCTGTGAACCTTGTAACCCATACCTATAATCCCACATAACTCAAGCCTGACCCCAGATGTACCTTCCCTCTTAACTTGTGTAAATTTGATTTTAAACATTAGCTTTAATAAAATTTGTAAATGTTTCTAAGAGGCAGGGCCTTAGGGCTTCCTTTCAAGTGCTCCCAGGCTACTTACCTTTTATTTCATGTTTTTACATTTGACAGAACACGGCCCCCCAAATCACCACGTTTTATTCATTTCTTTTTATGCACATCCACCAAAACCACCCGAGCACGGCCCACACCCTAAACCCCGCAGCACTGGCCTAGAGCAGGAACGGGGGGGAGGGAGACCCACCACCAGCCTCCTGCCCTTGCCCAGGCCAGTGCTCTGATCCCAGCCGCCGGATGGGCAGCCAGACAGACCGACGGAAACACCATCTCTGAGGGCAGCGTCGGCGGGGGGTTCCCGGGCCCCTGCGAGGAGAGAGCCGTAGCCCAGCGTGCATCAGTACCTGGATGAGGCCCTGGCGGAGTAAGGCCGTGTGAACGCAGCCAGGCACATCCCCTTTCAGCACCACCGAGCCGTTCCCGTTGCCCAGCCACCAGCCCCCTCGCAGGCTGTGCACCGCCGGGCCTGGGGGGCTGCCAGACAGCGCCCCCCGCCCCCAACAGGCAGCAAGCAGCAGAAGCAGCAGCATCCCGGAAGCTACCGCGAGCCGCCACTAGCCGGGACCCGGGCTCGCCGGAGGGGGCATAGGGCTCCGAAGCCCGCGGGGTAAGGGGCTTAGTGCAGCAGCCACAGCCGGTCTCCGCCTTCTCCCTGCAGCCCCCGAAGCTCTCGGCTCGGCGGCAGCGCGGTGCACTCCGCTGGGAGCAGGGCGCCTGCGCCGCCTCTGCAGGCCGCTGCACCCGGGAGCGATAGGCGAGAGTCTTCCCCCGGCCCCGGCCCGTCTTCCGCACACCCCGTTGGGGCCAGCCTGCAGAAGAGCCGCGTGCAGAAGAGCCACGCGCAGCGCCGGGGAGGGGAGCGAGGAGCCGCCTTCCTGGCATTCACTAGGCTGAGTTGGGTTAATGCACTGGGCATGGCAGCCAGGCTGCGTTCCTCGCCCTCCTAGCGCCCTGTGTGTTTTACTCCCAGACACGGTGAGGAGCAAATGATGCCCCGCAGCTTGTGGCAGAGTTGGGGGGTTACAACCGGGGGCAGTTGGAAATATGCACACAGCCTGGCAAAGCAGTTCCCTCCCTGCAGGTCCTGCTGCTCAGCGCTGATCTGTCTCTAACCTCCCCCTTTCAGGCTCTCAAGCTGAGGCGGGGGCAAGTGGGAGTGTTGACTAAGAGTAACAAATGGGTGAATACACGCAGCAGGTTTTTTTTGGGGGGGGGCAGAATTTAAGATTAAGTGGCTGAGTTTCCTACTATACAGTCTCATTAAAATACCATAAGCGTTAGGGGTAGCAGTTTGGTGAACCTTTGTTGAAAAAGAAGCTAAGACTTATCCTAGGCATTACAGGCCAGTCAACCTTACTTTTATACCCGGGATAGTGGTTGAAACAATAATTATAAATGGAAATAAATCAATAAAGGACAAACCACCACAGCTTTTCCAACACAAAGCCATCTCTCTCTCTCTCTCTCTCTCTACTATAATTCTTTAACACAACAGTTGATATAATTTATATAGCCTTTCAAAAGGCTTTTCACAAAGTCCATCACAATAAACAGTTACAGAAACTAAACTGTCATAGTGCAAGGTTAGATAGAATCATAGACATGTAGGAGTGGAAGGGTCATGGATCAGAAACTAATAGAAAATTAAAGTAGGAACAAATGATCAGTTTTTCTCTGTGGGGAAAAAACTAACAGCAGTATCTCCCACGTTTCCATAGTCAGCTCAGTATTGTTCAATACATTTAACAGAAGTCTAGAAAAGGGAGTCAATAGTCAGGTAGCAAAATTTGCAGAAGACACAAAATTATTTAAATTAGTTAAGACTATAGAAAATTACGAGGAATTTGTAAGTTACCAAACAAAGCATTGGAGGTGGGAAACACTAGGGCAGGTGAAATTCACTGTTGATCAGTTTACATAGACTTTCTAGGGCCTTGGTTCTCTTCTCCACCCTGTTTTTGTCAAATGTTGTTCAGCTGGAATATTTTTTCCCTACGAAGGAGCATATGCCTTTGCCTGATGTTCTCTATCCAGCCTGAATTTTGCTTTAAAAGAATTGAAAAAGCTGTGAAATTACGATAAAGCTGAGGTTCATGGTGAAGCATAATTAACAATGCATTATTAGATTTATACATTTGTAAAAGGGAAGGAAGGGATAATCTTGAGCCAAGAGATCTGGGTCTTATTCTCAGCCCTGTTATGTGAGCCTGATAACCTTGGTAACTTACACAGGCTTCCTTTGTGATCTTACTGACCTCTGTCTGCATTTTCCCCATTTGAAAATAGGACAAATGGACTAGCACAGGCAGCAATAGTAGGTAACTTGAGCCTCACTTTTTTAGGGGCATCTAGATAGTTTGGCTCCTGAGCTAGGTTACATTAGTCTTAAGAGCTGCCCTAACTTGTGCTCCTGCTTCAGTGACCCCTGTGGACCACTGCAAGGGCACAGAATTACCAAGGCATACAAGCTTCTTTTCTCACCTCTGGCCTGTCCCTGACCCCCTGTCCTCCTCTTCCATGGCAGGCATATGGTCCCTTGCATGGGCAACACCAAACTGGTTTAGAAAGGCCACAGGCAATTGTGAATCCGAGCCAATAACATCAGTGGTGCAGAGGGATTTGCACTGGTCCTCTGAACCAGGAAGATGCACATCATGACAAGTTTACTGTGCTCCCTGAGATCCTCATATGGACAAAGCCACAATAAGTGAAAAATATTGTTCAAATTCCACATAACCCCTTTCAAAGTGTACAAATACACAAAAGGTACTTGGATCCTAAAAACTCTTTGGTTGGTTGTAATCACCTCCTGCTCAGGCTGCTGTATTTCTGTAGTAGCCAGAAATACCAGCCTGACTCAGACCAAAGCTGCTCCACAAAGATATTAGCAACTTAAAGGAAAACTTTTTCAGTGTATGCACTCAGCTGTAATCCGACTAGAAAGCTTTTTTTTTTTTTTTTTCCCCTCAAACTGCCAATTTTTGAGCTGACAATGACTTCCTTCTAAAACACAGCTTAAAATGAAATTGAAGGTGGTAGTTTCAGCGTACACTGAAAATTTTAGATTAGGGTTTCCAGTGCTTTTCAAAATATACTTTTAGTTGATTAAAATTAGTGTAATTATTTTCCTGTGCCAGAGTACATGTTGATCTGTGGGAGCCCTAGTCCACAAGTTCTATTTTTTTGTTCCATAATCACACAGGTTGGAGTCTTTATGAGGCAGGCACTTGGCTGCCTCAGGACTGCCTATTTAATAAAACATTATGAAGAGCAAGAAGGGAGGTTAGAAGTGTTTAAAAACTAAAAAAATTAGCAAGTGCTTTAAATGGAGGCATATGTACACACACACCATTTTTAAAAAGTATAATCAGAATAGACAAGTTAAATTGTATTTTTAAAGGTTGATGTAGATGCATATAAAGGTGGTTTCATGTGCATATATGTGGAACCTACAAGACATGCAAAGACCCCTCCCCCCCCCCCCCACGAGCCTTACACACCTACATATATAATGTGGAGGAATAAAAGCTGCCTGATCATGGGGGACTTCAATTTGAGTGACAGATGCTGAAGGTCTCATAGTGCCAGTGGTAAAGTATCCTTGAAATTTCTAAATATTATAGATGAAAATTTCCTAACTCAAAAATGTTGCATCCAACATGGGGGAATTCTATATTAAACTTCGTCTTGACCGATAAAGAGGAACTGATCGCAGAACTAAAAATTAATGGTAACAAGTACAAATGATCATGACTTGATCACATTTATAACATGCAAACAGAATAAAGTCCAGAGCAGTGACATACATACATATAAATATATCTATATCTGTATATACCCAGTGCTTTAAAAAGGTCAATTTCACAAACCTGAAAACAATTATGAGTCATATCAGCTGTGAGGGAAAATTTAAACAGAAAAATGTGAATGATAATTGGGAATTAATAACACTTTACTAGATGCCCCAAAAGCCACAATTGATGAAGAAGGCCATATTGGTTAAAAAACAAAAAACCCAGACCTGGTTTAGAGCAGTGGCTCTCCAACTTTTTTTACTGGTGACCCCTTTCACATAGCAAGCCTCTGAGTGCAACCTCCCCCTTATATAAAAAAGTGTTCTTAAATTTATATTCAACACCATTATAAATGCTGGAGGCAAAGTGGGATTTGGGGTGGAGGTTGACAGCTCGTGACCCCCCATGTAATAACCTCGTGACCCCCTGAGGGGTCCCGACATCCAGTTTGAGAACACCTGGTTTAGAGGGATAGTGAAGACAACAATAATAAAATAAAATAAAAATAATAAATGGAAGAAAAGGAAAGCTGATAGTAATGAATATAAATCAGAAGCTAGGACTTGTAGAAAATTGATACGGGAAGCAAAGGGACAAATCTGTGGCCATCAGAGTTAAGAACAATAAGGACATTAAGTATATTATGAACAAAGAATCCTAATAATGGTATTGGGTCCATTACTAGACTAAAATGGTAAAATTATCAATAATGCAGAAAAGGCAGACATGTTCAATAAATATTTCTGTTCCATATTTGGGGAAAAACAGATGATGTAGTCATATCATAGGATAATACTCTTTCCATTCCACTAGTAGCTCATGAGGCTATTAAACAGCAGCTACTAAAGTTAGACATTTTAAAAATCAGCAGATCCAGATAACTTGTATCTAAGAGTTTTAAAAGAGCTGGCTGGAGAACTCTCTAGACTGTTAAAGGTGATTTGCAGTAAGTCTTAGAATATTGGGGAAATTCCAGAAGACCGAAAGAAAGCTAATACTGTGGCAATATTTTAAAAGGGGATGATTTAGGTAATTATAGGTCTGTCAGTCTGACATTGATCCTGGACAAGATAATGAAGCAGCTGATATGGGACTCAAATACTAAAGAATTGAAGGCAGGTGATATAATGAATACCAATCAGTTTATGGAAAATGGATCCTGTGAAACTAAGCTGATTTTTTTTTTCTGAGGTTACAAGTTTGGCTTCTAAAAGTAATAGTGTTGACATAATAGACGTAGACTTCTATAAGGCATTTGACTTGATATCACATGCCATTTTGATTAAAAAACTCAAATAATACAAAATTAACATGTCACACATTAAATGAATTAAAAGCTGTTTAACAGATTGTTTACAATTACATTTTGAGACCTGAGAATCATCATTGAGCGGGTGTGTTTCTAGTGGGGTCCCACCGGGATCTGTTCTTGGCCCTACACTATTTAACATTTTTATCAACGACCTGGAAGAAAACAAAATCATCCCAGATTAAGTTTGCAGATGACAAAAATTTTGGGAGTGGTAAATAATGAAGACAGGTCACTGATACAGAGCAATCTGAATCACTTGATAAGCTGGGTGCAAGCAATACATATTTTAATATGGCTAAATATAAATTTATATATCTAGGAGAAAAATGTAGTCCATACTTACAGGAAGGTGACTCTATCCTGGGAAGCAGTGACTGAAAAAGTTTTGGGGGGCAGAGGTGGATAGTCAGCTGAACAGAAGCTCCAGTGTGACACTGTGGCCAAAAGAGCTAATGCAATCCTTGGATGCATAAACTGGAATCTCATGTAGGAGTAGAGGCGTTATTTTACCTCTGTATTTGTCACTGTTGTGACTGCTACTGAAATACTGTTTCCAGTTCTGGGGTCCACAATTCAGGAAGGATATTGATAAATTGGAGACGGTTCAGAGAAAAGACATGATTTATAATAAGCTAAATGGACTGAGCTCCTTGAGTCTAAC